TCCACTTTCATTTTTAGTGGTATTTTAATTTTGCCAAAGATCAAGTTTTCACAGAACCTAGAATTACATCTGATGAAATGGTTATACCAAGTAAATCTTCATCTTGAACTGTCACAGTAGACAATATCATTCATTCTTGACACTTTAGTCCAGAGAGAATGTAATTCACCAGTTAAAGTTCGGTCATAACCAATGATTCAGAACTTACTCATGAACAAATTTCAATTTTTCTAGCAAACCTAAACATCAATTGGCTTACAATCATGTCACATTGAAATGCTGGTTCCTGTACACTCACCAAAGTTAAGCAACATTGAGCTTGGTCAGATGGGTGGCCACTTGGGAATATTTGATGCTATATGCTTGGATGTGTGGGTGGAGTGATGGATAAGTTTAGAATTGTTAATTGGAGAACCAAGTTCCAATTTCTGTTAGGTTCATTATATTAAACTACATGCAAATAAATACCCTTGGGAAAGGCATGAATCCACCTCTTTTCCCTCCAGCTATGAGTTAATAGTTTAGTGATACAAGTCTAACTAATTATCTCCAAAAAAATAACATAAAATTCTTACACTCTAAAAATATCTTCTGGCTTTAAATAACATGCAAAGAGTTGATAAGCCATAGAAAACAAATCAATCATTAAACATCAATTGGAAGAAGACAGTGTATGGTTGTCAGCAAAAGGGACAACCCAATATGTGAATTACACATTGGAGATACAAAAATTAAGTGAGTGCAAAAATTTAAATATCTTTGGAGTGTTTTAACAGAGGATGAAAAATGTGAACCCAAAATCAGATAGAATGGAATAGCAGAAGATGCATTCCAAAAGCTAAGGAAAGCATCAAGAAACAGGAAAATCTCTTCAGAAACAAAGAAAAGAGTACTGAACTATTATGTAATATCAGTCATCCAATATGGCAGTGAATACAGGGCAATCTCCTGAAAGATGAAGAAGAAACTTGAAGCAACAGAAATGTGGTTCTACAGAAGGATACTGAGAATCTCATGGACTGAACATGTGAGTAACAAGAAAGTTTTAGGGAAAAAGGAAATTAAAAGGACACCTACTTAAAATCTAAGAAATATCTAATTTTTTTAGGATAGATAATGAGGAAAGAGTTTGGAAAATTTGATATTCACAGGCATACTGAAGGCAAGAAAGATAGAGGAAAGCAGAAACCTACCCTCTACTTAACCTGGTATTAGTTGTTTAAAGAACAGGGATGTGGAAAGATAGTAAAATGGTAAAGCTTACTAAGAGCTGCAAAGGGCAAGAAGTTGTGGAGAGCTATGATTACCCATTCATTGAAGGAATGTGGCAAGCCTAAAAACTGAAAATGCTAGTCTTGATTTTTTTATATAAGCAAGACTAAATATTAATTAAACATTTTGATCTGCAAAGGGGAGGTTGTACAGTAGAAGAAAATAAAGATTTTATAGAGATTCTTGATAAAATCCAATGAATGTGCATTGTTATAGGTCCTGACCTGGCATCTCAGCTTCAGTCACTTTCCCACCAGTGTAACAAGGCTTCCTTGTGCCTTTTCTATAAATACTTTCATCGTAATTGTTCTGATGCACTTTCCTCTATGGTACCTAGACTTTATGAATTTAAGTGCAGTACTAGATTGACAGGTAGGTCTCATCATTTTACACTTGAAATGACTAGAAGTAACCGTGAATTCTGTGCTAACAGTTTCTTCTATCTCAGTTTGTGGAACTTTCTTCTGGCTTCTTGTTTCCCCAGTCAACTTTGATGTTCAAAAATTTAAATGCTATGTCAATCATTATCTTCTTAATTTCTAACCTTTTATTGTTCTCTCTCCTTAAGTAATTTTTTTTTCTCATATTCTCTCACATTCAGTAGCCCCTTACATCTTAGTGGATTTATTACCTTGCTTGAGGTGAAGTGATTAAAAAAAATCTCTTCAACTTTTGGGATGATTATTGTTATTACAATGTTTCAGCCATTGTACCTGCTGGACCTTCGTCTGGTGCTTGTTGATTTTAACGTTCAGAGTAATTTGAACTGAACCCCTTATTTCTAGGGATAACTCACTTGTTCTTATTTACTACTGCTCAGTTATTCCTGTTTCAAGGGAGTCTAAGTTTGTACTAAGTGGACAGCAAGTGCAACAAGCTGTAACAGTCTGTTTCATGCTTGAACCCAATCTTTAGACCATGAAGATTGTTTCATGCCTGAGTGCAGACTGTTGACTCTTGGTGTTGAACTCAGAGCATATGTAAATATGTAAGTGGACACTATCTTTCATATTGAGCACTTTTACACATAAATATCATCATCCCCTTGATTCTTTCATAAGTGTGGGGGGGGCAATGCAGAAGTCACACTGAATCTCATCGACAATGGTCTATCAATGGCATTTGAGATATATATATAAATCTCAGTCAGTATGTGCCAGGCGTGATACACACTTAGATGACCATGTATCTTTTGATACATGACTGACGAGGCAGATTTTTTCCTGCAGTAGGTTGTCATTTCTTTCTGCGGTAGACCAGTTGCCATCCAAGGCTATAGAACCTGGTCTGTCCTACTATTTACCCATAGCTAGAAGGAGAAGAAGAGGATTCATTCCTTTCCCAAGGGTATTAGCACATAAGTGAATGTAACAGATTCGACTGCAATTTGAATTCTGCTGTCTGATTCCCCAATCCAAGCCACTATCCCTTATCCACCGTGCCTCCATATATATATATATATATATATATATATATAATAAAAATACTGTGGTTAAGTTTATTTAATTTTTCTTGTGTTCTTATAATTTTTTTCTTCTCTGTACACAAATTATGTAGAAATTGTATGAATGTTCTGTATGTACAGGTGCTTTTGGCTATTCTTTTTGCTATTATCAAGGATGATTTTATTTTTGCTTTTAATTGAATGTATGGATTTTATTTTATGTGTGGATCTAGAGTTACTTCCTTGATCATAGTTTTTAATGAAACTTGTATAAAAGAGGGATTGCCCAAATACACACTTATTAATTGTAAGAATAAAAGATAAGCTTAAAATATTGCTTAACAAATAGTTAATATAAAAAATAGTCATTTGAGGTAGGAGTTACAAGCTACGCCTGGAGTATATAAGTTAAATGATAGCTTGGTTCAGGATTATTCCCACCTGATGATTAATGTTACATGTTGACCTATGGATTAAATATCTGACCTATATATATATATATATATATATATATATATATATATATATATATATATATATATATATAATTTTTTTTTTTTTTTTCAGTAACTTATCAGCCATTGACTAGTTTGAAAATTCCTTGTAAATTTTTTTTCAATTTACAAGGTGAAAATGATCATTAACCTAATGTAATCTTAATTCCTATTGTTGGAATAAGGGATATACACATTTATATGCACACACATATATATATATATATATATATATATATATATATATATATATATATATATAGTTAAAAAAACAATTAAAAGCCAAAAAAAACAGCTAAGTTAGGAGGTTGACAATAATCAGTGAATGTGAATTCCACAATCCTTTCATTAGCCACATAGAAGGTGCTTCATGTGGGTTATATACAGTTTTCAATTCAGTTTCATTCTCCAAAAAGGCTTCCAACCAAGACTCAAGAGTCCAATCTCTCTACTATTTAACCCATAGCTAGTGGTGAAGAGGTCAGATTCACACCTTTCCCAACGATGTTTACATGTAAGTGAATGTAACAAACATGACTGGAATTTGAACCTTGTTCTCGGATTTCTGCTGTTAGAAACAAAGAAAAGAGTAGCAAACTGCAATGGAATATCAGCCACAATTATATCTGTGAATATTGGACAATCTCCTCACAGATGACGATGAGACTTGAAGCAACTGAAATCTGGTTGTACAGAAGGATGTTGAAAATACCATAGACTGAATCTGTGAGAAACAAGGAAGTTTTAGGGAAGATGAAAAAAAAAAAGTGACACTTACACTTAACATGAGAGTTGAAATTTCTAGGAAAAAAAATTGGAAAATTTGATACTCACTAGACAGATTGAAGTCTAGGGAGTCAGAAAAACAATGCTTTCCTGGAGAGCTTGAGTAAATGGATAGCAGACCAAGGTTTGTAAGAGAAACAACAAAAAGACAAAATTTATTAAGAACTACAAAGTACAGGAAATTGTGGAGAGCCATGATTACCAATGTCCTGAAGAAGAATGACCCACAGAAAATTGTAGTGGTCAGGAAAGCATCCTCTTAGGAGTTGGTTCCACCAAGTAGCAGTTTGAAACAAAATGAAGAAAAGAGAACAAACTGATTCAATTTAGGTTGCAAGATGTTGAAAGCCATCATGAATTGAATAAAGATTACTTTTTTTTTTTTGTTCTCACAATAAATCCATTTTTTTTTTTCATCCACAGTGATTATCTGATTATCCAAAAACGACTTCATCTTTGACAGGTTTCATTACTATATTCTTAACTTTTGATATACTCTGTAATTTTATATACACACGCGCATATATACGTACAGTAATGATAAGTATTTGTTGGGAGCTTAGATTCTTTGGTTAAAAAGTGCAATAAAAAAAAAATTCAAAAAATAGGACAGTATTTACTTTCTTGAACCAAATCACATTACCTGCTATTTCACGCCAATTTGGATTGATAAAAGCATTCTAGTAACTTAACGAATGCAATCTGAGATGTAATTATAATGGCAGGTGTTAAATTGCTTTTGATGAAGAAACAATGTTGCATCAGACTTAGAAGTGAACAAACACTCGGCCTCTTGTTTAAAGCGCCAACATTACTGAACTTCTACTTTTTTTGTGTCAGGCTAGAAAGCCTCCTCCCCAGCCGACACCCACTACACAGCCAATTAATTTCTGGCTTCAGTTCAGTTTCCAGTACCACATTTCAGAGGTGTTTAGCCATTCATTTTTCTTCAATTTTTCACCTTGACAGAGAACAAAAAATGAGAATTTTTTTCATCTTCATTTATGTTGATTATCATCTGCAAGTTTTTCTTTTTCAACATTAACATTAGTCTTCATCTTTGTTATTTTCATAAAAATCTATATTCTTTACTCTCCTCTCCTTTTTCTCCCCTCTTTTTTCTCATCTCTTTTTTCTCTCTTTTCTTTTCTTTACTATCCTGTCCCATTCTTTTCTCTTTGCTTTTTTTGTCTCTTCTTTGCTTTTTTTGTCTCTTCTTTGCTTTTTTTGTCTCTTCTTTGCTTTTTTTCTCTTTTTTTTTTTTTCTCTTTACTTTTTTTTCTTTTTCCTTTTTCTCTTTTTTGCTTTTTTTCTCTTTTCTTTGCTTTTTTTCTCTTTTCTTTGCTTTTTTTCTCTTTTCTTTGCTTTTTTTCTCTTTTCTTTGCTTTTTTCTCTTCTTTGGTCTCTCTGCTCTCTCTCTCTTTCTTTTTTTTTTCTTTTCTCTCCTTTCTCTCTTCTTTTTTCTCTTTTTCTCTCTTCTTTCTTTTTCTCCTCTTCTCTCTTTTTTTTCTCTCTCCTTTCTCTCTTTTTCTTTCTCTCTCCTCTTCTCTCCTCTTTCTTTCTCTCTCCTCTTCTCTCCTCTTTCTTTTCTCTCTCTTTCTTCTCTCTCTCTTTCTTTCTCTCTCCTCTTCTCCTCTTTCTTTCTCTCTCTTCTTCCTCTTTCTCTCTCTTCCTTTCTCTCCTCTTTCTTTCTCTCTCTCTTTCTTTCTTTCTTTCTCTCTCCTCTCTCTCCTCTTTCTTTCACTCTCCTCTTCTCTCCTCTTTCTTTCTCTCTCTTCTCTCCTCTTTCTTTCTGTCTTTCTCTCCTCTTTCTTTCTGTCTTTCTCTCCTCTTTCTTTCTGTCTTTCTCTCCTCTTTCTTTCTGTCTTTCTCTCCTCTTTCTTTCTGTCTTTCTCTCCTCTTTCTTTCTGTCTTTCTCTCCTCTTTCTTTCTCCTCTTCTCTCCCTCTTTCTTTCTCTCTCTCCTCTTTCTCTCTTTCTTTCTCTCTCCTCTCCTCTTCTCTCTCTTTCTCTCTCCTCTTCTCTCTTCTTTCTTTCTCTCTCCTCTTCTCTCTTCTTTCTTTCTCTCTCCTCTTCTCTCTTCTTTCTTTCTCTCTCCTCTTCTCTCCTCTTTCTTTCTCTCTCCTCTTCTCTCCTCTTTCTTTCTCTCTCCTCTTCTCTCTCCTCTTTCTTTCTCTCCTCCTTCTCTCCTCTTTCTTTCCCTCTCCTCTTCTCTCCTCTTCTCTCCCTCTCCTCTTCTCTCCCTCTCCTCCTCTCTCCTCTTCTCTCCTCTTTCTTTCTCTCTCCTCTTCTCTCTCAACTATACATAGTCACATTGACTGATTCCCACTTTTGCCAAACTAACACTTGATGGAATCAGCAGAATCTGTTTTAAATTGACATAAAATAAATGAAATCAAGAAAAATTTCAAAAAATAAAAAATATTTTGGCTCTAAAAATCAAAACCCACTAAAACTTTTCTGAAAATTTTTGCCAACAAACTTTTTCAATTAATAATCCATCCATCTTTCCATGTTTATTTTATTTTTTTTTTTTTTTTCATGCTTATTTTATCAAAAGTCTTTTTCCTTTAATTCTGTAGATGATTACACTGTTTTGAGAACCAATTAGCTGTTCATCTATAATTTAATATCACAACATTAATTTGTGCATCTCCATTAAGGACTTCTTTTTTTCATCCAATCGTCCGAGATTGTATTCCACATAACAACTGTCCATGACATAAAAATAACATATCCATCATTAGTCAGAACTGTCAATGCTTTTATTGCTTAGGTATTAGTTATTTTAATCTGTTGGTTTTTGAAATGGAAACATATTTTGTTAAAGTCGGCCACACACTTTTCACTAAATGACCATTGATTCAAGTTTAGGAAGATTTAACATGAGGTTCCAATTTAAGTACTAAGAAACGTTTTTTCCCCACAATGCTGTCTTGACATATTTTATTTTGTTTTTATTTATTTATTCATATTTTTTATTTTTTAATTTCAATTTTCAGATGAGTTACTGTCCTTCTTTATGGCAGTGAATGTTGGACAGTCTCTTCAAAGATGAAGAGACTCGAGTTGACAGAGATATGATCCTACAGAAGGATGCTGAGAATATCATGGACCGAACATGTGAGCAACGATGAGGTCTTGGAGAGGATGAAAAAAGGAGGAGGCTTATACTTAACATCAGGAAGAGGCTGCTGAAGTTTCTGGGACATGTAATGAGAAAGGAGGGCCTGGAGAACCATACTCACAGGTCAAATAGAGGGAAAGAGAAACAAGTGAAATCAACACGTGACATACCTGGTGAGCTTAAGCAAGTGAATGACAGGACATGGTCTGGGGGAGGTGTCAGAGAGAAGAAACTTATTGAGCCCTACAAGGGATAGGGGGAAGTGGAGAGCCATGATCACCTACATCCTGAAGAGACACGGCACATAAAAAGAAAGAACCTCAAATAGGGACAATCAGCCTGCATAAAGATAAAGAATAGAACTTAGTTACAATTCACTATTTCAATAGTAAAATGATGAACCTTGTTGCTAATTTAATAGCACATTTAAATTCAGCTGGTCAAGGTATCAAGGAGAGCTGACCTGAACAATTGTCATGAAAATATTTATAGAAAAGACAGAGGGAAGCTGTCACCATGATGGGAAAATACACACACACACACACACACAGATATATAAGTGGACATTGAAGTCAACACCCAGAAGCAACAGTCTGTTTCATGCTAAATACATTCATCACGCCTGATGATTGCATTTAGTATGAAACAGACTCTCAATTCTGGGTGTTGACTTCAATGTCCACTTTTATATTCATATACACTCTACTCTATCCCTGCTATTGAGCACTTTAATCCATAAATATAGCATACATTAAAACTATATTTTATCAGATATATATATATATATATATATATATATCTAAGTACAGTAGAGTAATGGATAATGGCTCAGATTGAGAATCATACAGCCGGGTTCACAATACAGTTGAATCCTCCGTTAAATTCATTTATGTTGTAATGCCCTTGGGAAAGGCATGAATCCTCTTCTCCCCCCCCCCAGTTATGGATAAATAGTAGGACAGACTCGGTTCTATAGCCTTGGATGGCAACTGGTCTAGAAGTAGGACAACTCTGAATTCAGAACCTGGTTGGGGGCCTTTGTGGCACACAGTGCACTAAGTCTCTCTACCTGTCTCTAAAAAAGTGTGGTTGATTCTGCACAAGTGCTGGTGTCTGGCTATCAGTTCCTAGGAACTGAGCCACTTGATGCTCATACATCAAAAATAAATATATATATATATATATATATATATATGAGAGAAAATTGATTGTCAGTAAGTCTAGAGGCTAATGATAAAAAAGGCCTTTTTTTTTATACACAGATATTTAGTTTTGACAATGAAAGATATTATTTTCAATCGTGAATATTAATCATCTTCATCAAATATTACACAGTGAAAATTTCAGAGTGAAATATCTACGTGTCTGGCTATGGATTTACTGATCTGCCCCTGGACACAAATACATGCATACATTCAATCAATCCAACTGAACTAGAAAAAGCTAAAGTTGTTTTTAAAAAACATTAAGAGATATCTTCTTTTTTTTTTTTTTTTATTTCCTTTAATAATATCCCACATAAAAGCCGTAAGTGGAATCTAATACTTGAAATATGTTTCAGTATTTTGAGCCAGGAAAAGAAAAATATGCAAGAAAAGAAAGAAATATTAATAAGAAACGAAGTTCTCTTTAAAATAAAAATAAAAGCATTTTTTTTTTGTTTTAGTTTTTTTTTTAGGTGAGTGTATGTAGGTTATGGATGTGTGCTGATACAATGGATAGCAGCTCAGAATATATGACCAGAGAGCAAAGTTCAATTTCCAGTAGTTCATTATGAAATTTTTTTTTTATTTTCTCAATCATTTCACCCCAGGCAAAGGCGATAATGACATTAATATGTAAGAAGGTTACAAGGAGTGAAAGAGGAAACTGAGAACAGAAAGGATTGAAGAAAAGACAAAAGATGAAATGAACTCAAGATGGAAGATGGGGATTCATTTACATTTTTGAAGACTGTAGTTATCAGGAAAGCAAGAAAATGGGTGTTCCACAAGTGGGGAGTGATAAAAGTGGCAAATTTAGCTATCCCAATCAGAAACGGTTGGGACCTAGTTACCAATCTAGTAGCACACTTAAATTCATGTATTCAGAGCACTAAGGCAAAAACACTTGTCAAATATTTGTAGAAAAGACAGAAGGAATACACTCAGTAAAAGTACAACACCACTTCTTATCCCTTTTTAGCTATGGGTATATAGCAGGACAAACTGGGTCCTATAGCCTTGATTGGTAACAAGTCTAGGAGAAGGAAAACACTGAATTAAAACCAGCCAGGAGAGGGTTGCGTTCTGTCAGGCTATCTTGCTGAAGATACACCACTGTTGCTATAGCTGCAAGTTCATGTGATGCCCCTATGAATCTAATGGGTTACAGGATTCATGATTGTGAAATGTCCATTAGAGAAAGATGTGGTAAATGTTCTTTGTATATTCACTGAAATAAAAACAGTTTTTATTTTCTTTGTGGATATGTGTTATCCACAAATCCCAAATAGGAAAATATCAACCAATGTGATATTATCCAATTCCAATTTGGTACCAATGTTGACAGCATAACTATTTACTCTTGTCTTAGTGGTAAGTCTGTTTTTTTGTTTTTTTTTAATAAGGTCAAATTGGTATCTGAGCTAAAAAAAAAAACAACCTAAAATCTATTGTTAACTGGGGCAAGGAATGGCAACATGATCAAATTCCAAGTTTATTTATGAGCAAATATATCCAGTTTAAATACATTCATTTATTCAGTAAGTACATTTTACACTGCTGTAGTTACCACACCTATCATTTATGTCATAATTGATAACAGGTCAGTGGCTGCTTGGCACAAGTGGGTTGTGTAGAGACATTCCCTTTCATCAGTTAGGTTAGGAAACCCTTCTGACTACCCTCACAGCTGGCAGGTTGATGCCACTGACTTAAGTGTGATCATCACAACTTGTTAGAGCCATGTGTAAGAGTTGGATGTATGATGATGGAAAGTTTAAATACTGGAGTCACAAGAATTATTTCAAGGGACCAGCTTATATAATTTTCCTGCTATCCAGGGGTTGTTACCAGACACAGAAATTTTCCATCATAGCATAGATGTCCATTTCATTTTAAAATTGTGTATGTGCATGTGTGGAATTCAATGATAGGACTAAAAATATTTCCTCAAACTTTTTTTTTAAAAACCTTTAAAAATAATTTTTAATTTTAATTTAAAAATAATTTTTAATTTTAATTTAAAAATAACTTAAAATAATTCTAGTTATTATCAAATAATTTCTGAAAAATTCAGTAATTTCTTGCAATTATCTCATTTTTTTGAGGTTCTGAAAAAAATTAACATTAATTTAGCTACCTGGGGTAGAGGTTGTCCAAGCTAGAAAAATGTATTATTCAAACTCAGTCAAACTGTGTGCACGTGTCATCATCATCCCCTTGACTTTGTAATTGTAGGGGGGATCCAAATGCAGATGCCACACCGAATCTCATCAACAGTAGCTATCAGCAATTCTGGTTTAGTTATACATGTCCATTGTTTGTCATTGTCCAACAAGTTTTTGCATTGATCTCCTCTCCTATGTCCACCTTCAATGGTGCCTTGCATGAGAGTCAGGCACAGGCTGTCATGCCTTGTAATGTGTCCAAACCTCACCATTTTTCTCCATTTGACAGTAGCAAGAAGAGGTTTCTGGTGGCCCACAAAATTTTCAACCCTTTTCTGCACAAACTCATTGGTTTTATGTTCCCAATAGAATATGCCAAGGATTTTTCTTGTGTATTTGTTCTCAAATGCTTGGATCCTTCTCTCTGTTTCTGCCAACAGTGTCCAGATTTCACGTTCATATAGGAAAATGGAGACGACCAGAGATTTTTGAAATCTGTACTTCATTTGAAAGCTGATTTTGCTCCTCCATATTTTTGCCAATTTGGCCATCACTGCCATGGCAGCAGCAATTCATATATGAATTTCCGAGTTACAGGTACCATATTTAGACATGATCACTCCCAAGTATTTCAAATTGTACACTTCCTCCATTGAATCCCCATTCATGGTAATGTTGACACAGGTGTTACTGTTTGTGTTATTCACCATTACTTTGGATTTCTCAGAGCTGACCTCCATTCCAGATGCTCAAGTCTGGAGCTCACTGTTATGACCTGCTATGAGGTGAATGTCATATGCAAAACGTAGGTTACAGACAGGTCTA